GAGATCTTGAGTATCGGAAAAGAGCAAGCGACCCTGGCTCGGTTTTTCCATTATCAACAGAAGATATGGTCGAGTCAGCTGACAATATATTTCGCAATTTAGAAAGATGTAGTATGGCAACACTCTCCGTTCAACACGTCCTATCTATCTCTATCTTCAGCTATCTCGCTCTTTATGTATATATTTCTAACTATTTATCTATCGGTGTTCTGCGTTTGTATCTCTAGTTTTGTATTCCAATTTCTTATTTACCTATCTTTTATCTCCGTCTCTATCTGTCTCTCTGACTGTCTCTCTCTCTCTCTCTCTCTTTGTCTCTCCCCAGTCTCTCTCTCTCTGTCCCTCTTTCTCTCTCTCCCCCTCTTACATTCTCTCCCCATCCCTCCCTCTCTCTAGAGTCCAACTCACACGGCCTTCGGGTAATACCCACCCTTCTATTATTATAGGGTACTTTAGTTATAATTTACAATCCATCTACCAGAGACTAAAACTTTGAGTGATGGCTGAAGCTGATGACGTGCTGCTGTTGCTGGACATGTCATGTGGCTCAACGTGCATTAGCTGATATCGTCGACCGTCACGAAATGTAAATGTGGAACTAACAGATATAGTCAGCTGCTCAGCTCAGAGTTAATGGACTTCACACTGAAAGCTAATACGCAGCTTAGATTAAATATAGCTGAGTGGCATTATGAAGCAGTAAATCAGAAAATAGAATGAAGAGCTCTCATCCAAAGAGAAGTGAATACTGACTGGTGCTTGACACAGCTCTAAGCGATGTCACCTGCCCAGCTTCACACCTGCAACACTTCTCTTGCGCTTTCTCTTCCTCGTCCTCTCTCCCTCTCTCTCTCTCTCTCTCTCTCTTTCTGCCTTTCTTGAAAGTGTATGCACAGAGCAAAGAATCGGAGCTTGAAAGTTGACTGAAAACTTAAATGCGCCACTGAACTGAGTGCGCAGAGATAAAGTCAAATACTTGACAAGTCACAGGTAACAAGTATGAACTTATAAAGTCATAAGTGTGTTTGTGTGTGCGTGCATGGGTATGTGTGCGAGTGTGTGTGAGTATGTTGGTCTTTTGCAAAAGTGCCGCAAAGTTTTCAAATTATTTTTGGTTATATAATTGGAATTGATAACTTTGAGCACAACGCTGCACGAGACGTTGCTCCGGCTAGGGCCACACACAGCGTCAACTGTAACGAGTTCCATACAGACACACACCCGCACACCCACACACGCACACACATACATAAATTGCGCGTGTATTTGTCAATAACAAGCAATTTAACAATTTGCTATACAGACACATAAAAGCGAAATTCTTGCCAAAGTTATCATTCAAACTTGAAAATCAATAAAACTTTTCATACAACAACAGGCAGCAAAATCAAAAAAAAAAGGTATAAAAAAGCAGCAAATTCCCAACCCGACGCTTTGGCAACTTTTTGTGCGAACCCAATCGCGCCACATGCCCCATGCCCCAAGACCCTGGCACCTCGCTGTTAAGTATAGACACACGTGATATTATTTGCTTATGATCAATTCTTCTTCTTCTTCTTCTTCGCTGTTCCCATTTACAGCGGCAAGCCGAGTACAAGCGAAGCATGCAACCAAAATTAAGGCCATCCTTTAAGCTCCTACACATATCTGCATACTCTGCCCCAATGGCTAAAGAGGATATTCGAGTCGAATGATAAATGATATATGCTATATAAAATACATAATATATTTAACTATATTATCGTAATTATATCTACTACATACATAATTTATTTATAATTAAGTCTTCGACTCAAGTGAAGTCAAGAGATCAAGAATCCATTAGGCAAATGTCTTTGTTAGGGTATCTGAATTTCATTGAATATTCCTCCCTTTTTTTTTATCTTTTTTCTGGCGGTGCGTTCTTTTCCATCTACTGCCATAGCCCAATTTACTTTGTCTATCTGCCTGCTGCTTCGACTTCGACGTCGACGACGCTAAAGAAAGTTAATTAAGAAAGTTTGATTTCTTATGGCTAAATAACGCTCGAAAGTTTTACCGACTGACAAATATCGACCAATACTCGAAAAAAATAAGACAAAAAACAAAATAGGAAAACATAAAACAAATAATATGTCTGCTGACACAGCTGACCGACTAGCAAATACCCTGCAACGGCAGCGTGCTTCTTGCACCTTAATTGCAGCACGAATAAAAAATCTTTTCCTGAGCAACTTCCCTGCAAGGCGTAGTACAGATGGGACTATGTGTCTGAGCTTATAATGTATTCTGCATATAGGTCGTCTTCTGTTACCCAATCAACATATCCCAGCAGCCGCATCTATTTGGTTACAGGGTATAAAAATGATGAAGTTGAGCCTTTCACATCGCAAACCGTCCCCTTCCCTGCCGCCCCGCCCCCCCTCGCCCACTCATTGATAAGCAATGTTGAGTGGCTTTGGATGCGAAGGGGTTGCCGCGATTGCCTTAACAGCGACTGGGGCGGGGTTTATATGGCCAACGCTGCGGATGAGCAATAAAAAGTTTTCAACGGCTTTTTCACTGCCTCGGTTAAAACAAATCAACAAATATTTGCGATATATTTATATTTATATGCTTTCTGGAGCACACAGCACCGAGCACACGATATTTATATAGCACAGCGATCCGCTGAAGGACAGCATCAAACTTTTTGTTAAGCATTCAGTGTGATTAACGGCAGACAATTGAAACGGAGTGAAGTGTTTGAGTGGGGTATAGACAAAATTATAATAATATATATATATATGTATATATATATATATTTAAATTTCTGCTATATAGTCACAATCTCATTAATTTTCAATTTAAATTGCATTGCCATTAAATGTTTCTGCTCAGAAATCAGTGAAGAGTGAGATTTTAGGGCATGTTGGTTGGGTCGAAGTGTTGGTAACAGAGCAAAGCAGACATGGCTGAGTCTATAATATATATTCTTCATTAGGTTGAACAGACTAGACCTATTCGTCTATCTGTTTCAAATTTTCGATAACTGTTTCGATTATATTATATCAAACCTGTCATAAGCAATTCATTCCTTCTAAAAATGGAGTGATTAAATATTAGATAATTCAACTATGATATTCATTAACTAAAGACAAAGTTTTTTATTCAGAACTATTAGCGACAAGGTGTTCAGAGTATTCGACTATTCGATAGCACCCAACTACACCTTACCACCTTTTTTAAGATAGTGTAATAAGAGCTTCGCAGAACTCTTTTGATGACCTGTCTTGCTGGAGTTTTCCGTTAGACGGCGCTTGTTAGGGGCACAGGGCACAGGCCAGAGGAGAGACTCTGCGATAGCATGTCGCAAAGTACGTCAAAGATGTCATCAATGAGCTTGTCAGCGAACTGAACATTTCCATGTTAATAGACCCAATCAACTTGACGCTCTTTGCGGCAAGCTTTTCATTAGGTCTGAGTGCGCAAGGACTCCGCTTTGATGCGGCCCACAACTTTGGTGTAGGTTGGCAGCTCTACTTCAGTTAATGCTAATTGGCACAGTCAGCTGCATCAAAGCGCTGCCACAGCCACAGCCACTGCCACATCGGGTGCCATTCATTTCCATGTTTCGCATTGTTGTTGCTCCTCTTGTTGTACAGACATGGGCCATTGTAAAAGATGTGGGACGCATTTAAGGCGCTAAACAACTTAATGACTTCCTGCTAGTTAGGCACTGGACACAGTTAGCCATAGACTCACTCACAATGCCTACAGTCACACACACACACACACGCACACTCACACAGGCAGAGTCGAATGTGTCAACAAGGACAACAACAACAATATCAGAGCAGTACGAATGAGTGTTTCCTTTGGTCGTCGACCACAGGCGCCATTATCCTAGCAGCAAGGAAGTTGGCGCCAACAAAATAAAAAAAATAAATAAATAAAATAAAAATAATAAAGAAAAACATTTATATTAGGTTGTGCATGACTGAACAATACTCTAGGTAAATACAGAGGAGTTGCATCTATGTGAGTAGTTATCACTCATCACTCATCAATTACTCATCATTCATAATTCATAATTCATCACTCATCACTCATCATTCACCATTCACCATTCATCATTCATCATTCATCATTCATCATTCATCATTCATCATTCATCATTCATCATTCATCATTCATCATTCATCATTCATCATTCATCATTCATCACTCATCATTCATCATTCATCATTCATCACTCATCACTCATCACTCATCACTCATCATTCATCACTCATCACTGATCATTTATCATTCATCATTCATCATTCATCATTCATCATTCATCATTCATCATTCACCACTACTCATCATTCAGCATTCATTACTCATCACTCATCGCTCATCATTCATCACTCATAACTCATAACTCATAACTTATCATTCATCATTCATCACGCAACACAAGTTTGGTTCATCACTCATCATTCATCATTCATTGCTCGCCAAGCTTAAAAGTACACAAACCAAAATATACCCGACTTGAGAACAGGGCATAATAGGAACATCGAGCTTTGTTTCTATATATATATATATATATATATATATATATCCCTTACAAATCAGTTGATTCTCTACAATTAAAGAAATGAATTTTTCCATTTGCAAACTTCATATACTCTTTATTGCTCAAAGGAACAGAGGAAAAAAGACTGAATTTATGTGCCACTTGCCTCGCATTATCTCACTTGGAGTTGAAGAATGTATGTGTATGTGTGCGTGTGTACAAGTGTGTGTGTGGAACTGGAAGTGGAAGATTGTATGGACAACGTCTTCTGCGAGTACATAAAATTTTAATGCAAATTTCCATTCTATAATTGTTCATACTTGGACACATTTGCATTTATTAAGCACTTGCGCTATGTCTGTGAATGTGTGTGTCTGTGTGTGTGTGTGTACGGGAAAGAAAACGAGCCAACGAGGCATGGGCTCGGGGGGCGTTACCAAGTCACTTAGTTTGCGTTTATTGGCCTCGTCTCTTGATGTTTTATGAGCACTCCCCTCACCTCTCACGAATGTTGTTGCTGCTGTTGTTATTGTTGTTGCTGCTGTTGTTGTTTTTGCTGTTGTTGTGCCTGCAGCTGATTTTGGCGTTGCTTTTGGTTATTGCTATTTGGTTAAATTATGTTCAGCATTCCATTCGAGATTTGTTTTTTATTACGCCGCCTTTATTGCGTGGGTAAGTACAGCATCATGCAGAACTCTGGCTTGAAGGCCCAATAGCCGCGATGGGGCGGTTCTCGCCTATAGTCAGCCATCTCCTGGAGCAACTTGCGCACATAGCGTACGGGCTGCATTACCACATAGGCCAGCTCGGGCAGACGCCAAAAGCGCTCGAAGAATGAAGCCAGAGTCAATTTGAACTTCAGCTCGGATATCGGCATCCGTGGCAGCTGCCAATTGGGATGACTCTGATGGATCAGGTGTTTGTCCCATTGGCACATTGCTATATATACATATATATATTGTAGAGCTACACTTACGCGCTTTGCATTGAATCGCGGCTTTTTCTGTCTGTTGCGCTGCTTCAAATAATTCCGGCAAGTGCTACACATTTTCCTTATTTAAATTTCTTTTCTTTAGAGAATTCTTCGGCTGGCAAAGCTGAAGCTTTGTTTCTCTGTTTTTGTTTTCAATGAGTCGTACGCTGACTTATTGTGCTTTGACAGCAAGTGAGGCAGCTGCTAGATGACTGGAGCTATCTTTCATTTTGGAAACTCAGCTGGCAACCCTCGGCCATTTGCAAACAGCTCGTTTGGGTCGCGCTCAACGGTCGCGGCGTCTGTTCTGCGGCGTATTTGACGGCATTTCATTTAATAAAATGAAACGCAAATGCAAAACGACAAACGGAGCGGCCCTAAGACGACAGACAGTGACACAGCAGCTGGAACCGTAGGCAGAGGGGGCGGAGCAGGAGCAGGAGCAGGAACTGCTGGGTGCTGAGAGCAACAGACAATGCCATTGCGGATATGACGCTGAAGTGTTGAACCAAATCAGCAGCACTTTTGTGTTATTAGAAGTTGTAAAAAACATAAAAAAAAAAAATAAGAAAAGAAAAGAACAATCCAGCATTGTCTTCGGCTGCGGCTGGCGGGGCGTGTCGCAGCCAATTGGCAGCGCGAAGGCAAGAAAAACAAAACGATGACAGGACAGATTCATGGGCGCAACATGTGATGGCCGACGGGACGCGTCTTCAGCTTCAGTGTCAGCGTCAGCGCCAGCTCAACGGAAGGCAGTTAAATGTCGTTACATGTCCCGCAAATTGACAGGCGTTTTTTAATTTGCTGAAAACTTGGACAAATAGTATCTACTTGTGCTATATCAGATGGCATTAGTCAACAAAATATTTACCCATGAAGCTACAAATGACGGAGCTTTAGCTGAGAATGCTTGACTAGCAGATACTCTGCTCTGCTCAGTTGGTATGCTATCTGTTCTAGATAATCTATCTGTATATATATATATCTATATCAATGTCTATATTTATATATCTATATATCTATATATCTATATATCTATATATCTATATATCTATATATCTATATATCTTTATCTTTATTTACATCTACATTTGGAGCCCAAGTTAATTGTGGAGCACAAGTAAAGCGTCTAGTCGAAGTCTGGAATTTGTTTTGAAATGTTCGCTGAGCGAATTGTGTTACGAGGCACTGTCTAAAATATGAATGAATGAAGTGGGGCGGGGGTAGATATTGGGGGCCGTAAAACATGCCTCACGCTGGGCGAGTGGCACAAGTTTGTTGTTCCGTTACCCGGTTTGCTTTTTTACAACTTTTGGCCAAGAAGTTTGCAAGCTCCAAGCTGGCTAAGATAAAAGTAAAACTTTATGCAATAATAGCTCAGACCAGCTCAGAGCCAAAGAACCGCAAAACCAGATAAGTTCAGTGAGAGCTGCATTGCTGGCAGGTTGGCGGGTTGGCCGGTTCAATGGCATTGGCCAGCCATGCTGTGCACGTTATTGCTAACATATGTTGCTCGATATTATTAAAGTACGATAAAAATGCAACAGCATTAGCAGAAGTAGCTGTTAGTGCAACTAAAATGGAGCACAACAGCGGCAGCCGTGGCAGCAGCAGCCATGGCAGCAGAAGCAGCAGCAGCAGTTGCACTGGCATGCAACTGCAACAAATCATTTTTTGGAGCCAGGCAGCAGTAGTTGCAGCAGCAGCAGCAGCAGCAGCAGCAGCAGCACGCCCCCATTGCCACAACCACGCCCACTGGTCGTACCCTGTCTGTTTACCTAGCTCGACATGCCACGTAGTAGATGAAGCAGCGCACTTAATTTATGTTTGTTGTGGCTGTTTTAATTTTCATAGAATTTCATGTTGTGCGATTACTCCAACACAAACACACACACACACATATACATATATAGACTATACAAACATTGCAATAGTTCTCATATAGTCGGAGTCTCGAGCGCGCTGGCGTGGGCGTGGCGTGCAATTGTTTTTGCGCTTGACTGCCAACGCCTCGCAGTGCAGCTGCAAAAATTTGTTGAAACATTCAAAAACACAAGCAAACTTCTAGCAGTCGACTTTATACACTGACAGCTATTTAAAATTGAAAGAAAAAGCCAAAGAAAAAACAACAACTGAAATTAAATAGTTCTCTAATATAGGGAAAGAGGAAGCCGAAGTTGCATCAAGGCCAAATGAACTTCAGTTAGTTGCCAAGCTCTATGAACTGTGTATTTTAGAACGCATAAATAGGCAAATACTCGCAGTTAGGGTATCACCTGTGGCGTTAATGCACGCAGCAGGACACGCAACAAAAGGAGCTAAGCGAGAATTTTAATTAATTTGCACGAACACAAATTGACAGAAAAATGTAAACTATTAAAACAATAATTAATGCAATCAAAGCTTTTATATAATTTTATTTAATTACGCTCATTTTGTTTGCAACGCTAAATTGTTATCGTTTTAATTTCCAAATTTACACGGCTTTTTCAACTCAATTGTTGTTGTCCATTAGTGAGCGACTGAAAGCTTGGCTAGCGTTGTTGTAAAAATAGTAGTATAATATAGTAAGTCGGTGTCTTAGTTGCCCGCTTCCCATTTGTAGCTTGTGTTCGTTTGCTCTTACTGCGAGAGAGCGGGACAACGATAGCTGTTGCTGCATGTAGGCTCTAGTGTTATTGAGTGAGAGTAAGATGGCTACGTAGAATCTTCGCACAGGGTGGCTATGATTTCGTTGGACGAATAGAGCGCGACTTTACGTGAAAGTCTGAACAAGCGCTTAAAATTATGTAATTAGAATGGAAGGCAATCAAGTTGACACAACTCAAAAATATTTTTATATATAGTTTTTAAATCACACAAAGATTTAAGATAATTTTAATTATATTTTTAGTTTACTTAATACGAATTTGCTGGGACACTTTTCCCAACATTTGCCCAGTGACCTCAGCACAAATGAAAGGATCTCATTCTAATAGTATGTGCCTTCGTTCATTTATTTATTCAGACTGACTAGTCATTTGTTCACTCTCTCGTTCGTTCGGCTGGCCTGCAGCAATAAAGAATGACAAAAACGGCAGAGCTCTGAAAATCTGCGCCAGCAATTAAAATAGCACAACAAAAGAGCTTTCCACTGGTCGGGGTCAGTTGCAGCGGCTGCTGGCGCGGAGCGCGCGCCGAGCCGCACTGGAATAGAGTGGACAGAGAGCCGCTGGTCAGCAGGAAGCAGCTCGCCAAACAATTGCAAATCAAAATATTGCACTTGCACTCAATTGAACGCACAAAGCGTCAAGCAGCACAAAACAAATGGTGCGAAAGCCAAATCCGAAAGCAACGCAGGGGCAGCAAACAAAACAGCCAAGCCGAAGCCCAAATGCTCTACGCAAGGAGTACACGACTGCGAGTTGCCTTACCAATACGCTTATCTATTCTATTGCCCGCTAAGCGGCACAGCTATCTGATCCGGCTAAGTTTCTTAGCCAACTGAGAACAGATCATCCTGTGGTTTTGTTCGAATAACTGAAATGCCCTTGGCATGAATAGATACGCTACAAATTCTAAAGGGTAGCATCGGAAGCAAATGGTGCTTTTGAGGTCATTACAAACGTTGTGCATCATTCGGGCAAAGTGGTCACATTTCCACGGCACTTGGCAGTTGTAAGGTATCCGATTGCAAGAGCTGTTAGCAGCTGTTCTTCCAGGAAAGCAGGGTGGATTTGTCGAATACTCTTAACTCTTTCTAGCCACAGTTTCGAAGTCATTCAATGTTGCTGTTGGGAACGGGTAATGGGACAAGCAACATCTGCTTGAGATCACCTATCATACCTCTCTCGCTCTCTCTTTTTCTAGCTCTTTGATTATAAGACGCAAATCTAATCCCAAATCTAAGCCAATCTAAATACAAATTTGGTCCACTCTAAGTTCGCATAGTGCATAGCAAGACGTTGTTTCTTGCTGCTTCCATGTTTCAAGAGCTCCAAGCGAAGGTATCTCACAGTCGGTCAATCTGAACTATTAGACTCTAGCTTGTTTTTAGTTGTTGTTAGCCTTAACAATGACATCACTTGGCTGGCCTGCGGCCATAAGTAATGCCAGCTACCAATGGGGCCTGGGCTGTGGGGGTCTTGTGCTAACGTCTACGTTAACAAAAGCTCCAATTGCCTTAAGCAGCGCCAGTGCCAGCAAATACTTTATGGCAGCGTCTGGCCCCTTCGCTGCGCAGCTGCATTTTAGCTGAAAGTGAACGCATTTCAGCAGTTGTTGTTTTTAGCTCAACGCCAAGGCATGGACATGGCCCAATACATACAGCCCCAACACATGTTGGACTTATATCATATTCACACACACACACACGCGTGCACACACACCCATTTAATATACAGTAGACGTCAGCACAATGGTTTTGCCAGTGGCTCAGCTACAGCTACTGGCTGCCCTGTCTGCTGCATCCTGCCTGCTGCCTTCTTGCCTTGCGCCTTTCTCGGTGCGCAAGCCAAACAGAAATTCATCTAAATTGCAAGCGAACGACTATTAGACTGCTTCAAGCGTTTCGCCATGTGCAATGTGACCTGCTTGCCAAGGCAACGGTCCATGTGGCTATCGCTCCGGTTATCTCTCTTATATCGTCTTGATTCAGCGTCCAGCTGAAGCTTCCAGTTGAGCTTTGCCTTTAAACTGCTGCTGTAGGTCCAGTCGCCATTCTTTATAAATACTTCGACTCACCCTGGCCCTGCCTCTCCACTCGCTGCGTGCCTTACCCAGCGTAGAATGTCACTGCGAATGTCATACAAATTGCAGTATGCGTTCTTTTCCACTCGCTTGCTGTACTATGCACTTGCATAAGAGAGGAGTGGGAGTTGCCCTCTGACATAAATAACAACTCAGAATATTCCAGTGGTAAGTAGCCGACTGGCAAATACCCTGAACTTGCCAGGGAATACTTTTACCTTAAGCATTAAGAGCACAACGTGTTCCAGAGCATAGGACAAAGGTAAAGGTAAAGGTCAGCTGAACAGACGAACAAAGCTGACTGACATGCTGAACTTGCTGAGCACCCTCTTCTGCCTGCCTATCATACCCCATTCTGAGGCACAGGAATGTTACAAATGTACCAACCCACCCGCTGGACTATAGCTCTTTCTTATGA